TTATGATTGAAGTATGGATTCCAATACCAATCATATTTTGTCTGTGCAGCCAACGAAAAGCGACAATGAACTTAACGTAGCATGCATTAATGGAGGAACAATCCAAAAGGATATAGTATTTGAATTGGATGGATAGAGAGTAACATGGTTCAATTAATAAAATGGTTCAGTTCTAAGCAAACTTCCTCACATGCTATGCTTGAAATTTGGATTGTTGCATAGCTCTGTCTCTCGTGTACCATACCTTGTTGCCTCTTTTTTTTTTTCTTTAATTATAAAAATAATGAATGAAAATAAATTTAGAATAAATAATGTTAAAAATTACTTTAAAAAGTTGTGTGTCGATAGATACTTCTAAATCACCTAATAATTTTTTAACTTGAACAAGTTTGGAAAGTTAGGATACTATTTGAATTTTGGACTGGACCACTTGAAGTAGCAGAGAGAATGCATGCATGTGATACTGCAGCATGTCCATTTGCTATTAATTAGACGCCACAATATAAGACCAAGTGAATGTGACTGAACATGATCATGAGCTCTGGAATCGTACTAATGATTCTGATCTATATTACTATAATGATTATACGTTATTGGTGTAATTTGTGGACAAAAGCACCCAGCAATAAATTCTGAGACCTATATTTAGATAATTGACATTTCATTGGTAGATAAATACTAGGTATACACGATTTTATGTTATTATATTTTAAACTTAAATAACAATTTGGTTTTTTTAATTTGTTTAATTCAGTTTTAATATTATTTTAAAATTTAGTCTTATTTTTTAATTTTTAATTTATTATTTTTTTTTGTTAACACCATTTAAATAATTATTAGTGAATAGTGTATGTTATGTTCAGTTCATTATCATTATCATTTTTTTATTTTTTAATTTCACATGGGGTGGTGCATAATAACAATGTGACGTAGTATTTTATATTTAATTTGATTTTTATATTTTTCTAATTAAGTTTTCATTTTTATTTAAAATAGATCAATTTTTTTAAAAAAAAGAAACTAAATTTAATTTTTATATGAATATTATATTTCTTAAAATTTACAATTTTATTAAATACTTTTTATTTAAAATTATAATTAGTTTAAAATTAGAACAAAAATTTTAAGAAGTTCGAAAAGGTACATAAGGTATTAAATAAAAAATTAAAAAATTTTATAATATTAAAAAACTCATTATAATTATTATTATGATAGAAAAACAAAGAACGAAGAAAATTAAAAAAAGGTATTTTTACCAAAGAAAAGTGGACAGTTTTATTTTATAATCTTTTAATATAATGTTGTATCACATTTTAATTTAATACTTAATGTAATTAATTTATAAATCAATGGTTTTAGTATCTACTTTTAAAATTTTCATTTTAATTTTAAATTAATTCTAATCATAAATTATAAATATTTAATACAAATGTTAATTTTAATAAAAATACTATTATAACATTTATATAAAAATTAAATTTGTAGTAATTTGAAAATTAACATAGATTCTATTTAAAAACAAAGATTGAGAATGAATTAAACAAAATTAATAAATATAAGGAGCAAATTGAATATAAAACATTAATACATACCAACAAGTAACATTTTTATCAACGTAACATGACGTGAATCAACATGTAGATATCTTTTTTTAAATTAAAAAAATATTAGAAAAAAAAAAACAAAAAAACCATAAACTTACACGTGACCTACATTATTTTCACTGTTCTTTAATTATTTAAACGATATTAGTAAAAAGCATTGAAGAAAATTTACAAAAATTAGAATCAAATTAAAAAAAATATCATAATTAAAATGAACAAAAGTCAATTAAAAGTAGGGACCAAATTAATATTTTAGTTTATATATTATTATTATTTAATTAAAGTATAACACATAATTATGACTTTGTTATTTTAATCTTTTTATTTATGGTGAAATATTTTAATCTAATTTTTTTGTAATTTAGAATAGTTGAAGTTATTGTTCTTATAAAATTTCAAAGTGAAAAAAAAGAGAATAAAAATAAAAACCCAACCTAGATTACTTTAATACTTTTGTCTTTATAACTAGATATACTTTATTCAAGTATTTGTTAGCTTTGACAGATGTCCATAAGCTAATTATACACCAGATGAATGTTAAGAATACTTTTTAAAATGGTGAATTAAAGGAGGAAATTTATATGAAAGGTGTGTTGTTTCTAGTTAAGAAAAAAAAAAGTGTGTAAACTTTTAAAATCTTTATAAAAAACACCAAAACAATGATATGAAAAACTTGATTGTGTTTTTATGATGGTTTTTCACCTAATGATGTTGATAAATGTGTGTACTCTAAATCTAAAAACGACGAATGTGTCATTTTATGTAAATATGTGGATAACATCCTAATATTAGACACATGCAATGAGATGGTCTCTGGAACTAAGTTATTTCTTGGATCTAAATTTGAAATGAAAAGCATGGGTTAAGCCAATGTGATTTTAAGAGTTGAAATAATGAGGATATATTGAACACTCATAAATATCAGGCAAGTGCATGATCTAATAAGCGCAACACAATGATAACAACAAGAATTATGATGATATATTGTGATTGATAAACCACTAACACAAATCAAGTTGTTTTTTATTCATAGATCTTGTTATAGCAACTACATTGTGAGTTATATTTCTTAATATAAGACTAGTTCATGTAATTTTCTATACCAACTTTAAATGCATTACATCTTATAAGACCCATGATTTTCTTCTTTCATTTCTTTCTATCTTTTGCCTTTAATAATATGTGGAGGAATTTTGTGAAACATTTTTTCTTCCCTGTTTTTGACTCGCACAACAAAGTGAATTAAGTGTTAATTATTGCAAAAGGCTTACACTTGATTACAACCTCACCTGAAATCAGGCACAACAAATCAAAGTGAATCCAAATATGGTGTCGTTATGCATGAATGGAGTTCTAACAACTCCACAATCCGTGAAAGGTGGGCTTCCTCTATGGAACAATTTGATTCCTTTCCCGCACGTGTATGCATCTCTGAGATCTTCTCCAACAAATGCAACTCATGTTGAGTTGTTTTTCTGCTCCAATTTTTCTTGCTACGTGTGATGGGTTTCTAACCCCATCCATCACTGATAAATAGGTGCACCTTCACTTCTCTAAAAATGCATTCACTCATATTCTCTTCTCTTCCTCTTCCATCTTGAGTTATTTTTCTCTTTAAAAATATTTCTTGCTAGTTTTGAGTTTCTTGAAATATTCAAGAAATTTCTATTGTATCTTTAGAAACTTACACAATACACAACGATAAGTTTTAAAAGACAACAATGATTATTCACATATCAAAATATTATTCTTTTTTGGATGTGAGGTCGAGAATCACGATCAAAACACTCATTCACACTTTTCTCCATATCCTCGTCTTAGGTTTCCGTTACATGGTTATTCTCCGTCCTCAATATTCAAATTCTAGACTTTGTGAGTAAGTATCTGTGAAAGACACTCTGATGATCAAGTCAATTATGTAACTGATCGGTTATCACATTGAATTTTTTTTGTTGAATTTTATTACAACCAAAGGAGGTTAATGGATGAATATTTTTATCTTATTCAATAATTTAAACCTTAAATGTGAAGTTTCAATTTGTGTTTTTAATAATCGCCGAACATGGTTTTCGTGTTGTTATATCTCTTATATATTTTACAATTGTAGAATTTCATCAAATTAGTTTAATTATGAGACAATTGACTTTTAACAAACCAGTCCCAACACTCATTAAACTTATATTATTTTCATAAAAACATGAGAAAAAATATATTTATCATTATTTTACAATCCAACTTCATTTATGAATTGTTATCAGTTCAAATAGACGACTTAAACATCTCCAGTAGAAGTGAAAATAACACCGATGATCATAGACTTGCTACACCAGCACGACGGCCACCTATCCAACAAGATTTAACAACCTATTAATTTAAGATATGACAAGTGAAACACATAATTAGTTACTACTTTGGTCATTGAGAAATGTCATGAAAAATGTTAATAAGATCACCCATTGTTGATGTTGGGGGAGGCAGGCACATGGACCAATGGGACACGCCATTGCCAAATCATTCCAAAAATGCAATGCATTTTATTATATCTGAAGCTGGAATTTAATCGAGCACTTTATATGCAATCAAATAAGTAAAAGGCACATACTAGAAGAAAACGTGTCAGGACGAGAACGGCCTATCCAAATATTTAAATCTCCTAACCGCACAAAGAAATATTATACAATAAGCTTGACTCAACAAATTCCAGAATTAAGCATCATCATAAGAAGGTTTTTGTAGAAGTGAGAATCAAACTAGAGAAGTTACGACGAGGACAAACTACGAAAAATGCTGACACTTTCTGCCAGAGAGAACGCGACAAACATGTTCACGAGAAATAGGTTTTTGAAGAAAGTTGTTGATCTTCCTTTATTGTACTTTTTCTTGCAAGTGCAGCAAAACCTCAGGTTACAGGTTTTTTCTTTCTACCAGTTGGGCCCTCCCTTCACCACCCCATGCGTATTATCTATAATTTATGTTCTACTATAAAGAAACTGAAGGAACGGAAGAACTTGATTAGTTTATTAAATATATTATTCAAAAGCTCAATTTTTTTTTAGAATTAAATCATTGCATTATTTATTAAAATGATTTTAAAGTATCCGATTGAAAAGACCGACTTAAAAAGTCTTTTTTTTTTTCAAGTAATGATTAGAAAGTTAGAAACTTATTGAAATCGGGTAAGAAGAAGTGATGAGATTGTAAGCTATTTTTATAACAAAAAAAAGTTCATTCAAATGTTCGTCTAGTTCCATTTGAACCTCCAACCAGTTCAAGGGAATCCTGAGAAACTGGTTGTAATAACCTGCAAATGCAAGAAACAGAGCAAGAATTAACTTATTAGAACAACAATTATTATTTTCATAAACTTCAAGCAAACCACTTTGAAAATAATAAGGCTAAGCAAAATACTGTAATACTTTACATATAAGCATGATAAAAATATACATAGCGAACTTGCACGCTTAATTAACTGTGTTCCACATCTATTTGTGCCCTACTACGTTTCAATTTTCAATTCTCCACTTCCAATTCTCTTTTAAAATTTTATTTTAAATTTACTAATTGAAAAATAATAATGACGCGGAATCATGATTCACCGGCAACCGGCTGCGCACCGGTTTCCTCCCGATCCGACGTCGTACTGCTACTTGCAGCACATAGATACGGCCTAATCTTATTCCTCCACACATCCCTGAAAACTCCGCCATTTCCATCCCTCCTTCTCACCTCAACCACAACCAGTTCCGCCGATAACCGGTAAACCTCCACCAAAGCGGCGAAATTACCATCACACCCCTCCAACTCCACCCCACACTCCTTCCTCCTCCGCACGATAATACCCTCCACAGTAGACGCCGCCGCAACTACCTTCTCCACCACCTTCTCCGGCGACTCCTTAAGCAGAAACCTCTCTCCCTCTTCCACCTCCTTCAATGAATCAAACAAACCGGAGAGATTCAAGCCTGTGGAGAAAGCAATGATATCAAACGCGTTCAAATCCTTCACATCATCACCTTCACTCTTCCACTCCAAACCTAAATCGCCAAATGTAACCTCCTTGTACCCCTTTTTGAACCACGCCTCCTTCAAAATCTCATCGACGGTTATCCTCGTCTCGGGATTCGTATCCAACAACCTCGCCAGAAACCTCCTTAACTCCGTCGAAAACCACCTCGGACATCGATACTCCCCCTTGTAAATCTTCCTGTACATCACCATAAGATTCGGGTCATTAAACGGTAGATACCCAGCCACAAGAACAAAGAGAATAACCCCACAAGACCAAACATCAACTTTAGCCCCGTCGTAACCCTTCTTCGCCAAAATCTCCGGTGCCACGTAAGCAGGGGTCCCACATAGCGTGTACAGCACCCCATCCACCCCCATCTGCTCCTTCACCGCGCCGAGTCCAAAGTCGGAGACTTTGAGGTTCGCATGCTCGTCCAGCAGAAGATTCTCCGGCTTCAAGTCGCGGTGGAAAACGCCCCGCGCATGGCAGTACCCGACGGCAGAGATCAACTGCTGGAAAAACCGTCGCGCGAGATCTTCGCCGAATCGACTCTTCGCGATTCTCGCGAAGAGCTCGCCTCCTTTCGCGAATTCCAAGATGAAGTAGATTTTTGTCTTTGTCGCCAACACTTCGTGGAGTTTCACGATGTTGGGGTGGTGAAGACGGCTCATGATGGTAATCTCGCGCTTCACGTTGGAGGCCATCCCCATTGCGGCTAGTTTCTTCTTGCTTACCACTTTCACTGCCACGCTTTGCCCCGTGCTGGTGTTACGCGCGTGGTACACCTTCGCGAACGCGCCGCATCCTAGGAGCCTTCCCACCTCGTATTTTTCAAACAAAACGGTGCTCTCCGCCGCCGCCGCCGCCTGTTCAATTTCCGGCATTGGTTTCACTAAGACTATCGTGCTCAGCACGATCTTAATTGGGGGATTGTTGTAGAGAGGTTGAAAGGGGATCTGGAAATTTCCCGAAAATTGTTGATGAAAGCTTTCGGGATTGATTTCCTTTTCTGCTGTTTTGGTTGGTGGAAGCGTAATTGGAAGGGATCGATTAAGTTATAAGGAAACGAGGTTTTGCTGGCACTGGCTGTTTGAGATGTTTCACGAAGAAACTGCTTTGGAACTTCGTTGGAAGATTACGTTTATTAGTTGGTTTGGTGGTTATTAATGTCTCTACTTACTGAATGGGGTCTCAGTAGTCTATGTATTTCTCATTATTTAATGTGTTCAGAGAAACAAAAAATAATTTGTTGTAATTTTTGTACTTTTGTAACTTCCATATACCTGTTCTATCTTTTTCAAAGTAATTTAGATTATATAAATAATAAGCGATAATGTAAAATAACGTTAGAAAATAAAAACTGAAACATTTCAAAAATTTAAATATAAAAAAAAGAAAATGAACTATAGATATTGGAGGAAAAATATGCCCCACCTTTAAATCTTTTTCCAATATTTTTTTATCTCTTTGAATAAGATATTTTATTAATTATCTGATACATCAGTTATATATCTCTACAAGAAACTTCTAATTATTCAAGAAATTTTAATTAAAAAATAAATATTAAAATTAATGAGGTAATGTCTCATTAAAATTGGAAAAAATGAGTAGTGATAAATTATATTAAAACTATGTTCTCTCTGAACATTAAATGAATAAAAAATTGAAATAGGAGAATAAAAATAAATAATTGCATAAATATTAAAAGTAGTTTATAAAATAATAAATTTAATTAGTTATCTTAATAAAAATGTAAAGCAGGTGGTTTTAATGACACGCGTGAAGGGCGCGTGTGTGGTTGGAGTTGGGAGACCGCTAGGTGGATCCATTGCTTGAATGGGAACGTGATTCCCCTTTTCTTTTCAGCAGTCGTAGGTGTTAACTATTGCCATACACGTGGGCGGTGGCGATGGGACATGAGATTGACTTTAGCAATAGGATAATGCCACGTCGGTGCCGGTTTTACCAAAATAGTTGATTTTTTCTCTTGTACAGTTGGGGGCGCTTTGAGATTGACCTTTAATATGTTGAGATTTCTTGCAAAGATTAAAAAAAGAGTTTACCAGTGTTTTTGGACTCTTTCCTTGAAACGAGTATATTTTTAAATTTTGTATAAATAATAATGTTCAGTCTCTCAGAAAAGAAAAGCATTATGTGGTTTTAAAAAATAAAATAAAATAAAATTGTAGGACGTAAGAATGATTCTCAAAAACTGAGAATATACTTTAAAAAGGCGAGATACTTTCAAAATACATTACGATGTGCAATGGAATCAAATGAAATGCGTGTTCATGGTTTCTCTCAAAGGGATATTTTGACACACGCAAAAAAAAAGGTTATTTGAAAACTTAAGATATCTCATTTATTTTATTTTTTCATTTGAAATTATAATACATATTATTATTAAAGTGAGTTGTAGACTATTCTTTTTCTTCTCCTTTCACGACCTAGAAAACAACGACTAACTACAAGATTTCTTTTATAAATATATTATCAAGACCAAAATATTTATCAATTTAATTAATATTGTCTACAAAATCTAATTCCATCAACATATATTGTCTACACTCAAAATTTAGTTTGAGAAGGAATCAAATGTTATATCCTAACATGACATTTCTTTATCTGTCACAACATGGAAAATCTCCACTTACTATATGTTTCGGTAGAGTTTTGTAAGATTGAGAGACTAATCTTTTCTCACGTGTCTTCCTTGTTTTCGAACGTCTGGATCGAGTGTTCCGCTCGCTTGAATTCTGGATGTCGTTCAATTGGATTCTGGATGTCGCTCGATTATACTCTGGATGTCGTTCGGTTGTACTCTAGATGGGGGGAGGTACTTGCAAAAGACACTTCGATGCTCAAGTTAGGAGCGGTTTTATGAACTGTTTATCACAATTTAATATTTAAGTCCTGATCAGACGTAAGTAGACCGTAGTGGAGTCTCAGTTGAACATACCTGGCTTTTGACCCTGTTAGTGTATTTATAAGTGTTTCAAAAAACAACCTTACCTAGAGATCCGGTTAGTTACTCATAAACGACTTTATCTTAACCACTTATCAACATCTTCAGATTTAATAAGATATTCTTGATTATTTTATTCTTCTTTGATTATTTTATCTTCTGCTGGACTACTGTCCAATAGTACCTTAAGTGTTGGCCCAATTATGGCCCAACACTATTTAACGCGGTTCACTTTAGTTGATGCGGTTGATGATGGCCCGGTTGACCATTGTC